CAACAGTTAAATCAGTTAAATTAGAAACAAACTTAGCTAGAAAAACCCCCATCAAAAACCACAGATTTGTTGGTTAAATCCCGTTAAAGCCAATGAAATTCCAATGAAATCACCATTTGTTTAAATTATATAAAAGTCCTAAATCCTTATTTTGTGTTGGTGAATGATATCATCATTTTTGTTGGCCAAAAGGCATGAAATCACTATGTGTATGTGTGTTGGCCAAATCCAATGAATCACAACTTTTAAAGGATAATACTGATACCGGGTTCTACCATAAAACCCCATGAATTTTCCATGAGCTCAGCATTTTTGCCGGTTGAAGTTCCCGTATGCTGAGCTGCTGTGTATCCAGTTGCACATTTGACGACACCTGCCATCACGGCCGAAAATGCTATGGCGATGGACCAGAACAAAAATGGCTTTATGAACCGAGGAAAAATGAAGTGTTTACCCATTTTAACACTCAAGAATGGTTTAGCGTTTTTGCAACAAAGCTTTGGATTTCACTAGGGACAATTTAGGGAATTCAGACTCCAAAATGGGCCACCCGCAAAAATAGACCTTCAAACTCCAAAAGTTGGGAATTCACCAGCAAAAATGCTTTGGAGATGAAGCAGTGCGTGCTTTTCTGCATGTTTTTTGTTGCAAAAATCGACATTTTTGCTTGCCGATCTAGCCCAAATCCTTCAGAAACTCTAATCCTTCAGAAATTCTAATCCTTCAGAAATTCCAATCTAATTCTTCAGAAATTCTATTCCGTCAATCTACATCTCTTCTCCAAACGCTCGCCTGTACACTCAGCTCGCGCAACAGACCTCAGCGTCACGCGTCCGTCGAGAATCGTTCAGCCGACGGGCAAAAATGAGACCCAGATGCTCCATGTATCTGCGTAAATTATAATATTTCACTAACACTTACCAAATTGAGGTAGTAATTAAGCAGTGGAAATGGGAGGGCGAACCCATCTGACTTCATAGAAACTTTATGTAGAAAGATTCCAACCAATCTGGACATACTTTATACTTGGCTCATCCCACTTAGTGGCTTGTAACCCCAGGTATAAGTGGCATAAGTTGGGTCAGTCCACGGCTAATCCACTGGGGCTATGAACCACAGATCCTAAGTGGGACGATTTCCCAGCCCCATTGCTCCATGTAATTCTGGATAGTGCCATCCCCTATCAAAATCTATCTACCCCCATTTGTCGGGAACGCATGTCTAAAACACAGTACTTAACCAGGGCTTCGTTGAAGAGATTGATGATTCCTCCATTTCTATCCGTTACGGCTAAACATGAAGCTACAAAACCTACAACTCGCTTGTGACATTGACATGTTGTGACGACTCATCTTGGCACCAAGTTGCCCCGTTGCTCTTCGAACTGCAATTCCAAAAAGTCTTTCCTTAGGAAAACCGAGACAGTTACTCATCCATCTCTGGCCATCCATGGCCAGACACTCCCTGAATCCAATTTGCGGACCCCCCAAATTTATATAAATTTATGGGGTCTGGACATGTTTGGAAGAGCATTTAAGCGGAATTTGATATAACATGATATAACGATCAGATGCCATCAGATGCCATCAGGGTGACCAGCAAAAAACTATGGGTCAAAGCCTCGAGTTCCACAACCAACCTGTCCCGAAAACTGGGTCAGTTGATGGGCTAGTGACAACCTGCCAACAATTCGTGATACCAGTAGTTCTCCCAAACAATCCCATTCCCCTAATTAACCACCCACAAAATGATCCCAAGTATGTGATTTCATCCCCTATATCCACCGTTATCCACAATGGTTTCTGGCAATGTGAACGGGGATAGATCATCATAAACCAACTTTGAAACTCCTATACAACCCCGATTGGATGATGTTTTACGACCTGGGAAAATGAATATGATGAACGACGGGATTAAAGCAGCTGGTAAAACATTATACCTGGTAATGACTAACAGTTTGCGAACTTGAAAATGGCTCATTTTTTTGTTGATTTGCCTATTAAAAATGGTGATGTTCCATCGTTTTTTGTATGTTTACCAGAGGGGACATCATAAAACCCCCCGAAAAAAAATCATGACTCCGCCAGGCCTTAGAGAGGTTGGCTCTTGTTTTCCCCAGCCAGTTGGTGCCGTTTCTCTTTTTCACAGCTTGTATATCCCAGTTTGAATACACCATTATCTCATTCTCAGGTGAACTCTCTACATGTTTTGGTCTGACCAACTGCAACTCAGCGTCAACTTCCGGAACTCCTCCTGGAAAAGGCCCTCCACACCATCCATGGCGCCGGATCGCGGCAGATGCGAAGGGCACGGGAGGGAGGAAGGGGGAAACGGGTAATGTCAAGACACGTTCTACGAAGCGGACACGCTTCCAATAAAATAGATGGATTTGTGTGTATGTCTGAAAAACATTTGAAAAACATTTAATTTATATATAAGTTATATATATATAATATATACGAATACACATACAGTATGTAACAGTGTAATACATGATGATGTGTAATATCCAACGTATTGATATGTCATGTTGGTAAGCAAGGCAATGACGCGCTAGAGGCTTTCTGCAGGAAATCCGCTACAGTTCAGCCAAACTTCAGGGGCAACGATGGAAGATATGGAAGTCATGAAGCAACATCTAGTCATTGGATTGCCATTCGGGATACTTAAGGGACTATATATAAACATATATAAACGGAAACCTTCGCCTACCAGAACTGTGAAATTTCGCCTCATAATCCTCTAAATATGATGCATAGTAGACATGAAAGGCCTGGTGAACAGCAGAGGATTGAAAGCTGGAAAAATATGGAATGGGGTGCCATTCCTGAGCTGTCAACACATTGCTAGGTCCAAGTCTAACCCCGAACTGAGAGTTCAATTATTATACCCTCTACAAATGGCCCATTTATATTTGATTTACCCATTAATAGCATGGTGATGTTCCATAGTTTTTTGTATGTTTACCAGAGGATAGTTCCAATAAACTGAACCCAAAAAACTGTTCAAGAGTCCCATTCTTAGGATTTCCAGCAGATGGGACCCCCTCTATGGATCCCCACTTCCAGTTCCAGTGATATCTATAGTGAATCCACAGCGAGGGGTCTCTGTCACTGCATCGGGCTCCGAACGGTCAGGTGAGTATGGCTCCATTGGTTCAAAAACATCATTGGTTGTTGGATTATTCCTCAATATATTGGCGAGTATAATCCCCCAACTAATCTGGTTGGTGGTTTTTCGCCCCTCTGAAAAATGATGGAGTTCGTCAGTTGGGATGATGATTATTCCCAAGATATGGAAAGTCATAAAAGCCATGTTCCAAACCACCAACCAGTGATGCTATGAAATGAGTTTCATGTCATTTCTATGTTGGAAAAATGCAATTGAATCAGTGAACATGTCGCTATTCAGATCACTCACCTTTCCTTTCGGAATCAAGGGTGAATACTATCCAGAAGTTTGATGTCAGTATCCAAAGTGTTCAGGCTTTCAAAACGTTGAAACTCACCGGTTCGACAAAATTCCAGAATTACAGAGGCAAAGCCCTTTACCAGCTATGCTTATAGGTGGTGATATTTTTACGGGTTGTAATTCCACAAATGGGGTGACTTACTGACTTCATCCTGGTTGGTGGTATACCTACCCCTCCGAAAAATATGAGTTCGTCAGTTGGGATGATGACATTCCCAATATATGGAAAGTCATAAAAGTCATGTTCCAAACCACCAACCAGGTCATATTCCTACCTGGTTGCTGGTTGAGCCAACCAGCATCTGACTTCATCACTGCTAAAGGGCCAACAAAACCTGCAGGACTTGGGCGACACCAAGGCACGTGTCACAGGAACTCCGGTGCTGCAGCAAGTTCTCCAGATCCTCCTGAGTTTTCGATGGAATTACTGTTCTATCTTTCTGGGATTTACTATATATATATAACATTTAATATAACCAGATGTTTATGGGCTATACATGGCCATACTATGTTAAAGCCATGTACACCCATGAAATTTCTATTGGCAACAAAATTCCCCGACCCAATTCCTGAGGCGATACCCTCGAGTCACATGTCGAGTCAAAAACTCACCCTCCATCAACGAAGGATCAGAATCATCCAAGTCTCCATTTAAGATGGAGTCTCATTGAGCTTTTCGACAGGATTCCATGGTGCCTACCAGCAAGTCTAGGATTGAAACCACCCACCCCGTGAAGCTGGCTGCTTTGTCGATTCAGACGGTGATTTTTTTTGCATATGACATGAGACAGTGATATACCCAGCAATGAAACATCGCAAATTATAGTAATTCACTAACCTGAAACTTACAGCCATCTTATTTGGGGATGATTCCTCATATTATTAACCATGATTCCAGATGATTCCAGGCTTCGGGGGAACAAAATGGAGATCTCGCCCTGGTTTGCTGGTGAAGCTGCTACCGTGAACACCGGCTGAATCACAACAATCCGACTTATCAAAAAAAAACAGCCCAAAAAAGAAACCATGGATGGTTTTGTGATGTTTTGTGGATGTAGGAGATTGTCACATCGGGAGCTTTTGAATGGAGGTGTTGAAGATGTTGGGACGAGATCGCTGGGATCTGATCGACAAAAAACAGTCGAAAGCTTGTGCCGTCTCCCAAAATGACCAGATGTGAATAAAAGGCATCACTAAAATCAACATAACCATCCAGATGATATTGTGACTAAACCATCATGATTCAAACCATCATCCAATTACCCTCTGGCAAACGTTTACATAACTATGGAAAATCACCATTTTCAATGGGTAAATCCACTATAAATCACCATTTTCAATAGCTATGTAACAAATTACGAGAGGGTAATAAAACTTGATTGAAAGCTCTCAAAAAAATTCGGGATGTTGACAGAGTTCACCATCAAACATGGCTGGATTTGCCTTGTTCCTGGCGAGACTGACCGTCATCCACCATCCACGCCGAGATCTTCGCCGCAATGATCGCGGCGAAGATCTATGATTTTTCGTCACAAATCCTCACGGTCCTGACATCCCGGGGAAGTTCATGAAGGATCAGGTAATGATCTAAGCATTAACCACTGACATCACAGCAAAGTCCCTTATGATTCATCCAGATTTATGCATGATTCTGGGACATCTGTGACTTTCGGAAAGAAAAATTGTCAATTTCCATTACCCAATTCGATCACCAGTGGCGAATGATGGGCTCCTTAAAACAGAAACGATAGTTTCTGGGATATGAGTTTTCCTAGTTTCCAAATGTTCAAGCACGGTTTGGCCACGTTTAAAAACAGTTTTCTGACATCCCCATATTGCCCAATTTGTAGCCATGGATTGTTGCTTTTAGATCACCGTAGTCTGGGCAAAAACATGCCAAGACAACATCTCAAACTGCAATCCCCGGCAGTTTCCCATATTTTCCCACATGTTCCCATATGTTCCCTATAAAAACCCAGCACTTTTTTGGGGCATTTCCCTCTCAAAAGCCAGAATATCAGCATTTTTGTTGGGGACCCCTTTAAATTTAAAGGACCTCTGCAACCGCCGTGGCGCCTTTCGGCTTTGACTCAGATAGCCCAGATGTCCCAAGGCCACTTCCACTAGCTGCGAAGCATCGAAGACCGAACGGCTGGAGGCCTGGCCGTGAACCAACGGAACCAGTAACGAGGACGCCAGGGGAAGATCTACGGTGGAAACAATAAATATTATCAATATAATATATATATATATTATATATTATAATATATATATATATATATACCATCTGGTTATTTAACATGCCATGGAAAATCACCATTTTGAATAGGTAAGCCATCTATAAATGGGCCCATGGCTATGTTAAATAACCAGAGGGTAGATGTTAATCAACAGTCAATGGAAGTATCAACAATATTGATGTCATAACCTATGGAAGTATCAACAAATATGGAAGTATCAACAATATGGAAGGTATCAATAAATAAACCTGGTAATATTCACCATTATTAACCATGGATAATATAACCTATGGTGGATGTGATAACCTATAATTCTAGTATTAATCAAGCATCCACCCTTCTAGGGTCCACCTATGGTATACCAAGCCCAAGGCCACTGCCTGATCCTTGGTAATATTGGCGCCTCTCTCATTGATAAACCTCTTGTCTTCATGGTGCAGCCCAACAAATTTGCCTATCATTTCCATCAGTTCATTGGTATTGGCCAAGCCTTTGGCTTGGCCCAATTGCACAAGGCTGGTGTATTCATTTGCCAGCCTTGCAGCCTTAAGTGGCAGCACCCTTCCAATTCCTTGCCTGAATGCTGCAGCTTGGGTCCTGCTGGCTAGGAAATATAAAGGGTCGACCAGGGGCACATTTGGATCCATGTTTTCCAAGTCCAGGACCTCATTCTCAATCTGCGCTTCGATGCCATAAGGCATATACCTAGAGATCAACCTGGCCACATTTTGGGGGAAGCCACCAAACCTGAAAATGTGGCCACCACTGCCTGCTAAAGGCGTTGCAGGTCTTCTTGCACCAGGTAGCATGGCACAGACTAGGCCACATGCAAAAAGAAAGGTCAAAAGGCAAAGCCAAGTTTGTGGCATCTCCAGCCCATGTGCTTCCACCAGACTTGGGCACAAAGAGAGCACCACAAATCCTTCCACCCAATGCCCTTGTACTGCCACAGGGAGAGAAGTCAGGGCCAAAAGCCATGCCAAGGATTGCCACAAGGAAGTGGTGTGCACCTGCAAGGCAAGGCAGGTAAGGCAATTACAATGGCTTTCCATTGTTGTGCCATGATGTCAATCACATGCAAAACAATATTGCACCTCTGAGCTACACCTGCAGATGGTGGCTTTCTGAGTGGTCAAGCTGCATAGTTCCTACCAGGGCACCATGGGTTTGATGGGAATATATTGCAATCAGAATGCTTGGTGACCACAAAAACATGTCAATGGCTGCTCAACCTCTGAGTTCCACTTGCCCTGAGGGGCATTCCTTGTGTTCAAGCTGCACAGCTCCTGGCAAGGCACTAAAGGTTTGCTAGAGCTATGTTACAAGCAGAATGGCTGGTGGCTAGGGACCACAAGCATAAAACCATGCCTGGGCAACTTTGCTCTTGTCCACAGCCTTGCGTTCCTTCAAGGATGCTTTGTAAGCCTGAAGAGGTATATAAATGGTCACATGACAATGCAAAAAGCTAAGAAGTTACAGCAGTGGTGTGTCCAGCCTTGCTCTGTGCCTTTTCAAATAGTTCCGTGGCTTTCTTTCCTTTAATCTTCCTTTCTTTTTTTGTGCCACTTGGGTGGTACCATTGCTTTGGCAAATACCACAACAGATTGTCCTGCAGCAGCACAAAAAAAAAGATGCAGCCCACGAACCCGAATGCTCACACGTATGTTAATGGTACAGATGTCAAAACATGCAAGCACGCAGAACACTTTTCTGCAATAGTTTATTTGAACAGTCTTGTACATATTTCCCCTGTTACCAGTCTGCAGTGTCGAGTGTGGAGTGTAAAGTGTGGAGTGAGGAGTGTGGAGTGTGTAAAGTGCAGAGTGTGGAGTGTAGAGTGTAAAGTGTAGAGTGTAATGTGTAGAGTGTGGAGTGTGGAGTGTAAAGTGTACAGTGTCGAGTGTGGAGTGTGAAGTGAGGAGTGTAAAGTGTAAAGTGTAAAGTGTGGAGTGTAAAGTGTAAAGTGTAAAGTGTAGAGAGTGGAGTGGAAAGTGGAAAGTGGAAAGTGTAGAGTGTGGAGTGTGGAGTGTAAAGTGAGGAGTGTGGAGTGTGGAGTGTAAAGTGTGGAGTGAGGAGTGTGGAGTGTGTAAAGTGTAGAGTGTGGAGTGTAGAGTGTAGAGTGTAAAGTGTAGAGTGTAAAGTGTAGAGTGTGGAGTGTGGAGTGTAAAGTGTAGAGTGTCGAGTGTGGAGTGTGAAGTGAGGAGTGTAAAGTGTAAAGTGTAAAGTGTGGAGTGTAGAGTGTAAAGTGTAGAGTGTGGAGTGGAAAGTGTGGAGTGTAGAGTGTGGAGTGTGGAGTGTAAAGTGTGGAGTAAGGAGTGTGGAGTGTGTAAAGTGTAGATTGTGGAGTGTGGAGTGGAAAGTGTAGAGTGTGGAGTGTGAAGTGTGGAGTGTAAAGTGAGGAATGTGGAGTGTAAAGTGTGGGGAGAGGAGTGTAAAGTGTAAAGTGTAGAGTGTGGAGTGTAAAGTGTGCAGTGTGGAGTGCGGAGTGTAAAGTGTAGAGTGTGGAGTGTGGAGTGTAAGTGATGAGTGTGGAGTGTGGAGTGTAAAGTGTGGAGTGAGGAGTGTGGAGTGTGTAAAGTGTAGAGTGTGGAGTGTAGAGTGTGGAGTGTAGAGTGTAAACTGTGGAGTGTGGAGTGTAAAGTGTGGAGTGAGGAGTGAGGAGTGTAAAGTGTAAAGTGTGGAGTGTAAAATGTAAAGTGCGGAGTGTAGAGTGTAAAGTGTAGAGTGTAGAGTGTAAAGTGTAGAGTGTGGAGTGTGGAGTGTAAAGTGTGGAGTGTGGAGTGTAAAGTGTCGAGTGAGGAGTGTAAAGTGCAAAGTGTAAAGTGTGGAGTGTGGAGGGTGGAGTCTAAATTGTAAATTGTGGAGTGTGGAGTGTAAAGTGTAGAGTGTGGAGTGCGGAGTGTGGAGTGGAAAGTGTAGAGTGTGGAGTGCGGAGTGTAAAGTGAGAAGTGTGGAGTGTGGAGTGTAAAGTGAGGAGTGTGGAGTGTAAAGTGAGGAGTGTGGAGTGTAAAGTGTGGAGTGAGGAGTGTAAAGTGTAAAGTGTAAAGTCTGGAGTGTGAAATGTCAAGTGTGGAGTGTAGAGTGTAGAGTGTAAAGTGTAGAGTGAGGAGTGTGGAGTGTAAAGTGTGGAGTGTGGAGTGTAAAGTCTCGAGTGGGGACTGTGAGGAGTGTAAAGTGCAAGTGTAAAGTGTGGAGTGTAAAGTGTAGAGTGTGGAGTCTAAATTGTAAATTGTGGAGTGTGGAGTGTAAAGTGTAGAGTGTGGAGTGCGGAGCTTCCCCCATAGACACGGCGACGCCACAGGAAAACCAGAGACTCGAGACGAGACACGTGGATGCAGAAAAACGAGCATTTCGTGCGAGAATTCCTCCAATTTTGACATTTTCGACACGTTATCAAAGAGGTTGGAATGTCACAAAGTGCCACGCCTGCCACGCAAAACGACATGACAACCTGCTTGGAAACCTTCGAAAAGGACACGTTTTCCAGCTTCCCCCATAGACACGGCGACGCCACAGGAAAACGAGAGACTCGCGACAAGACACGTGGATGCAGAAAAACCAGCATTTCCTACGAGACTTCCTCCAATTTTGAAATTTTGTGAACATCATCAAACAGGTTGGAATGTCAGAAAGTGCCACAACTGCCACGCAAAACAACATGACAACCTGCTTGGAAACATTCGAAAAGGAGAGGTTTTGCGGCTTCCCCCATAGACACGGCGGAAAACCAGAGACTCGAGACGAGACACGTGGGAGCACCACAACGAGCATTTCGTGCGAGACGTCCTCCAATTTTCACACTTTGAAACATGCCGAAGAGACATGTTTTGCAGCTTCCCCCATAGACACGGCGAAACCACCATAAAACCAATGACGCGAGACGAGACAGGTGGAAGCACCAAAACGAGCATTTCGTGCGAGGCAATTTCACACTTTGTAGCTGCAAAATCGACGTTTTCCTACGAGTTTTCCTTAGAACCTGAAAATTTGCAACCTCAAAATCGATGTTTCGTGCGAGGCTTCCGGCAATTTTCAGCGCATCGCACAAAATGCCACGCCTGCCACGGAATTTGCACCTTGTCACCACTTGACGCAGCCCTGCCAATGCGATTTACAAAAAACACGCAACACGACACGTCTAAAGTTTAAAGTGCTGCGCCTGCCACGAAAAATGACGATGGACACGTCGAAAGTGCTGCGCCTGCTACGAAATCTGCCACGCATCTTCGCAAAACGTCGCAAAAGTATTGCGCCTACCACACAAAACGACTTTCGACACGTTACAGAACGTTGCTGAATGTCACGAAGTGCCACGCCTGCCACGCGAAACGAAGCAACGACACATTGGAAAACTCCAAAAATGACCACCTCTGCAGAACTTCCCCTAGGCACGGCCATACGGAGTTCGTACGAACGGTTGTGAATGGTTGCGAACGGTTGCGGACGGTTGCGGACGGTTGCCACCACAAACGCAACGTCGAGCGAACACACCCTCAACGCCCAGACCCCCAGAACACACCCTCAACCCCCAGACCCCCAGAGTGAAACGGGAACCCTTGCTACGCATTCGGGAAAAAGATGGTAACTGCAATGCACAATTATATTGGTGTGGTGGTTGCGACCCAGCCTCTTCTCTGGTGGCTTCATCCTGTGGGCAACTTTTCTCCCACATGGCTACCTGGGCATAGCCGTGGTTTTCCAGAATTGAACTGGTGCACCAAGCAAAGTTTGTGAAAACAACAAGTGGGCATGGCAATGCAAGCCTCTTCTACAATGGCTTCATCTCCTTGGCCACCTTGCTCACACACTGGCACCTTGGTAGGCATTCTGAAACATTGCAGAACATGTGCAAATGCAATGTTAAATTTGATGGTTGCTAAGGTTGGGCTTGGGCTTGGGCAACTGACACAGCATCCTAAC